GAGCCCGGCCTCTCCCATGCCAGAGCAGCTGGCAGAGTTATCGTCAGAGCCGCTGCTTTGCTGCTGGCACTCTCTGCCTGATGGATGAGGACGAGGCACATTACATCCTCCTATAATATCTCACATCCTCCTGCACCCCCTACCCTGGTGCTGGCCCCTCCGATAGCCAGCCCTGGCTCCCTCGCAGGCAGGGCTCTGGGAGTGCAGCCGAGTGCCCAGCACTTTGGCTAGGTGTGCTTATGCTCGCTCTGGAAACAAAACTGAGCTTTCCTTCGCTCCTTTGGAGAAGATCTCTCCAGAAAACTGTGGGCAAGGGCAACCTTTGGGACCAGCGTGCAAAGCCTGCTAACTCCGCATGTGGGATGGGGCAGGATCAGCCAAGAGTGCCTCAGCCAAGGGCATCGCGCTGCCAAGCTCACGGGGATGAACCTCTGCCCCTGCAGCGCCAGCTGGCACAAGGCAAGGCTTGTGCACTTTCCCTTGGCCCTGGCTCAGCTCATGAGCGCTGTCACAGTCCCAGGCCAGGACTACTTGGCTGTTAACACTCCCCTGCTTTATCTTTCTGCCCCAGGCAGCAAGACTCCTCCCCTGGCTTTCACAAAAGCCTTCAGCAACAAAGGCTGATGGCGCTGGGACATGCCAAGGAAAAAAGCAGTGGGAGGGCTGGGGAGCTGGCAGCAATGAGGGGACTCTGGTTCCCCAGACAAGGAGCAGCATCTCCATCACAAGCTCAAGGCATGGAGCAGAGAGAGCGTAGCAGTCCTGATGTTTGGAGACTTAGCAGCTCTCTCCCAGCTCTGAATATGAGTGATTTGAAGAAGGGTGGGGAGATCTGCTCATCTCAGGACTTCCATATTCCCCAGAGCTGCTGCTTTCCCTCTATTTCCACCTTCTCAGGGGATCAGCTGCTAAGCACCTTGAGATGCTGGGGTTTGCTCGTTTCTGGTAAAGCACAAGGAAATGCTTCTGAAGGGCTGAACATTAAGGGATTTTTCTTTTTTGGCAGCTCAAAGGTGGTTAAGTAACCCACTAGAATTTTACAATGTCACTGGAACACATTAAGAATATAATCTCAGTAGCAACCCCAGGATATAAGGATGTTTGCTTTCATGACACACTCTGTGAATGATTACTTATGACACCACTCCCAGCAAATCTGTTTGCAACACCAGCCAGCCCCGAGCCATGAGCTCACTGAGCTGCACCACGGCCACCAGCAGCGCTGGGGAGTGGAAACACAGAGAAACCAGGGGGAGTTTGCAGAGCCTGGGCGGGAGACCCAGATGTCCTGATACCTGCATATTGACCCGACCTGCCTTGCGCTGGCAGAAGGAAAAGAAAATCTACAGTTGGAAAGCTGCTGCTACTCCCATCTCTACCACTGCCCCACCGCGGGCAAGTCGCTTTGGTAGCTGGTTTCTGCTCTGTACAGGAGTGCCAAGGATGGTAGCAGGGCTGAAGTCCAAGCAGCAGCGCAGAGCCTGCCCTGCCGAGGGCTGGATCACACTCACCTTATCGCTGAGCAGGCGACTGTTTGCTGATGGGGACGTCTGCAGGGACAGCCCCTGCCAGGGAGAGCAAAGTGAGAGAACATGAAGGAGGAAATGAAGCCCTGGAGGTGCAGCAGCTCCCTGCCCTACCTGTGGGACCTTCCAAGGAAGCACTGGGAGGGACTCTTATAAAGAGGATGGACTTAGCCTGTCCCACATGAGAGACAGCAGTGAGGCTGCCCCCGACAGGAGAAGGGAATGAGCAAGCGCTGGACTGGCAGGTGTTGAAAAGCCCAAGCCCAGCCAAGCTCTGGGAATGCTCTCAGCACTGATGGCAGGACCTCAGTGGAGCAGCACCAGCGATTACAGCTGGGCTGGCATTAATCTGCTCATCTTGGAAGGGAGTGCCATCTTCTGAAATTGCTGTTTCCCAAAATATGATCTCTGTTACTCGAATGCAGCCAGAAATGTGAACTCAGCCCGCTTCCTCCAAGCCACTGGACTCTATGCCAAAAAACTGATGTGATCAGAAAAGCAAGGGAACTCAGAGGCATGCCATGATCCCCCACCCTGGTGCAGGTGGGAGGAAGATGTCTCACCTTCAGTTCTAGAAGAGGACCTGGGACCCAACTGTGCTGGGAAATCTGAAAACCCCACTGGATGCCCACGATCTTTTCCAGCTTGCAGTAAAGACCCTGGGCCATCTCCAGCGGGCTGGTGGGGGGAATGACCAGGGGGACTTTGGGCACAGGACATGGCCGAGTACTGTAGCTCCTGCTGAGGAACGGCCCTTGTCTGGCCCAAGTGCTGTAACATCGTGCGAGAGGCTTTGTGGTGAGAATGCTGTCAAACACACGGAATCCTTCTTTTATGGCAAACTCCCAGGCCAGGTCAGCCACGAACTCTGCATCATCCGGGCTGCTTTTGTCTGGGCCATGGTCCCCTGGGAACAAGAAAATAGGACATCTTTATTTGAAAGAGTCTGTGTTATATAGTCACATCCCCAACAGCACCGTGCACCCTTCTTTGGGCCAGCCCAGCAGGACTCAGGGAGACTCCTCTCTAAGGAACATGAAAATAACATCTTGTTTTTCTCTGATAAAGACTCCTGAGCCAGACCTCATGTATGCAGATAAACAGCCCTGGGAGTCCACACCACCTCTCTGCTTCGGGTCTCTTCTTTGAAGGTGGTGCTTAGTCTGAAGGTTTGAGAGCTCCACCTGTAGGACAGGGCTCTGAGCTCTGAGCTCTGGCCTCTAAATTCTCCCATGAAAGAAGTCATTGCACAGCAATCTCCAATTGGCACAAATAGCCAGCAGGAAGAGACCAGACCTTGCAGCCAGCAAGAAGCAGCTGCATGGGAAATGCCCTGTGTGTGCTCCCCTTTGGCCCTTTTTGTGTTCGCAGGACCCGACCTGACTCCACAAGACAGCCTGCCTCAGAGGTTATAGCACCCTCACACCCTCCAAAGCCTGTGCTGGAGCAGGGAGGGAACTCTGTACTTTACATGACATTCTGTTCCCATCCTTCTTGTCCTCGCATAGCAATAAATTGCTGGATGATTTTTCCCAGATTATTCATCTCCAAGAAGTGAAACACAATCTTTTGGTTTGAGCCCTTATTTCCCATAAGAGCACTATGCTGAGAGCACAAGGCTGCCAGAAACATCACATTTTTGCTGTAGCACCTGGAATTTTTGAGCTCTCAGGATTCACAGCCAGGAGTGCCTGAACCCTGGCAGCACACACTGCTGGTCTGACCTCACCTGGTTCAGCGCAAGAGCTCTCCCTACACCGGTGCTCGTGTGTCTGCGCTTTGGCTGGAGATCTATGCAGAACAGGACTGGCATGGTTTGGTTCCTCACCTGCCAGAGAGCATTTGTAGAGTCCCTGCAGCATTGCAGCCAGTCGGAAGAAGACAAAGGCCATGTAGAAATTCCAGTTCTCGGGATGCTCCACTCCCATATGGTCACAGTACGTCTGGGAATACTCCTTTGCCGTGGGAATTTCCAGCCGCCCCAAATCACACTTCCTCAAGCCTGGAAAATGTGAAGAGGCAACAGTGAAGCAGCAGGCAGCGAGGAGCTCAGAGCTTTCTAGAGATGCCATGAGGCTTGTGGCAGAGCCACGCAGCTGTGGAGCAGCAGAGACACCTGCACCCATCCAACAGTGGCACTGCTGCTGTGCTGCTTCCACACAACCATGGGGGCTTGGCACCAACTCACGTAGGTGAAATGTATATGGGACAGTTTTCTTCCTTGGGGTGAGACTGTGAGAGTAGTGACTGACAGGTCTTCCTCCTAAACGATGGAGTAATTTTCCTCTCAGTTTAGCCCTATATTTTTATCAAGTGTATAACTCTGCAGACAAACCACGTCAGTGCTGGCCTAGTGTGAAGCACCTGCTTCAGTTTTTCCACCCAAGAGAGTTCCTCAGCTTCAAAGCTGAAGTGAGAGGGAAAATAATCCAAACTGATTTTTAAAAGCAGCCTTGGAAGCTGCGAAGCAGGGCCCTCGCCCTGGGGCCATCCCTGACATGACCACTCACAAGGATTCACATACACGAACCGGATGACAGTACCAAGCAGGACAGGGAGCACACGGCACAAGCATCTGCCAAATGGGTGTCAGATACGAGACAAACCAGGGATGCAGCAACCATGGCACATGCACATTGCGAAAGATGCTTCCACCCTGGAGGGATGGAGGTTCCTCTGAGAGCGGAGAAAGGGCAGAACAGGGAACTGCAGCTGAGCCCTTCACGCAGGAGAACTCAGGTTCTGAACTCTGGTTCCTCTCTCTATGTGTCAAACGTGACTTTGCTCCTCTCTGTACCTCTTAGTGCACTAAAATGAGGTGGCAGGAAGAAGGCCATACAGTTATTCGCCAAATCAGAGATGGGATCTCCTAGAGTTGAAAACTTCCAGCCAAGGACAGCAAGGACTTCTGGTCTGTCTGGATGAAAGACCAAGTTGTCCATCCTGTATCAGAGGGAAAAAGAGATCAGGTGGGGGAAAGAATCCCAGTGCTCAGCAGCAGTAGGTGCTTTCCAGCGCTCTTCACTCCACAAAAAATTGCTGAGTCCTTTGGGAGACTGCATAAGCAGAACGCTAATTTCTGCAACCACAGGTCAGAGAGGACTGAGATTACTCAATAGTGAACTCCCTGGTTAATGATGAACCCAACTGTGCTTTAAAGAACGAAACAAAGTTATTCAGGGCCTCAGATCATTAACAGATGTTACAGCACAGGTTAGCCAAAAAGCAAAGCAGGCAAGTCATTTGTCCAGGAGGATTTTCATTTCAAATGCACACAATAACTCCAGGCCCTGCACTGCCATGTACTGTAGATTATGCAGAGTACAGCCTTCACCAGTTTGAGCCCCAGGAGAGGGCAGCAGCCTACTGAGGAGGAAACTGAGAGGGCAGGCATCCTGCCAGGGTGCTCAGAACTCACGAGCTTCCAGCCACACAGGAACTGTGAGCGCTAAATCTCGTGGAGAGGAGCCTTGGCCCAGAGTTGGTGCCCAGAACTGGCACACACCTATGCTGCAGCTTCACAGCCCTGGCAGCCAGGGTCTGACAACGAAGCAGCAGCTCTCAGCATCCCTCACCTCTGTCCCCAGCCACCACGCTCCTGCAAGACTTCACCTGTAATGCCAGCAGGTTTTGCCACACGTCCTGCAGCATCTCATCAGCCACCCAAAACTCTTTAAGCACCGAATATCGTTAGCAAGATGCACCAGGACTGATTTCTGAGTATCACAGAAACAGCTGATGATCCTTCAGTGTTTGGCCACTGTTTGCAGTAGTTGGGCAAAGAAATTCTGAAACACCAATGAGGCAGCAAGACTGGAATCGGACATCAGGAGTTCAGGCTTTCAGTTCCTACCCCCAGCTTCCCTGCTTTCGAGTGGACACTGTTTCAAACTGTCACAGATCGGTGGGCAAGTAAACACTGGGGAAATAAGAGAGCTCCGGGTGCAAGGCAGCACCAGCCAGAGCTCCTGGGATATGTGTCTCAGGACAAATGTGAAGGGCTTGTTGGCCCTCTCAATCTCATTATCGGGGGGATGCTGGACTTGACCCAGAGCCCAGCTTTCAGACTGCTCGGAAGCTGCTGCACCAGCCCAACTCCGCACCTCTCTGGAATTTTCATAGTGCTTTACATTCCCTCTCTACTGCCTGAGATGTGCTCCAGGGCAACGCTGTCAGCCAAGCAGTACCTGAAATCACCATGCACAACTGTCGTTTTCTGAGATTCAGGAAAATGCAGAGGCAGCCACTCAATGAGTCTCTCCATCGCTGGGATAATACGAGTTTCCATAGCTCGATACTGTTTCGTCCAGGTCTCAACTTCCCGTTGAATGTAATTACCTGTAACAGAACAATGAAGGCTCTCAGGGAAAGGGACTAGAATGAAAAGGCTTCAGAAGAGATGCATAAAAGGTACATGCAGAAAAAGTCAAATATCCAAGCAGATCTCAGTCCAACAGTCTGAGATAAGCTCCAAGAGTTTAGCTGTGATTTCCAGCGGTCTCATACATTCTTAACTGGGCACAGGATTTGAAATTCTGGTGGAAATAATCAGGTCCTGGACAAAAATGTAACTTCTCCACCACTCCAAGAAGCTGAGATAGCTTGCCAGAGGAGGAAGGAGCTGAGGAAGTTTAGCCATAGATGACAGCAAACAAGTTAGTCCTGCACTGACAGTTCAGCTCTTGCTCATGACAGGAAAGTCGGGGGACTACTAGCAGGAAGACCTGGAGGCTCTAAAGCAGCTCTTCACACCTCCTACCACACCCAGGGAACCAGACACCCTGCTGCCCAACTTCACTTCCCCAACTGCCTCCAAGTTTAGCCTGTACCCGAGCCTATCCTTCAAAATGCTGATACACAGGAGAAGAGAATAGCCTTCTCTCACCATGCTCCCCGAAGTCCTCCAGCTTGGCTGCTCTGAGGTCCACGCTGTGGATCTGTGAGAGGCCTCGATTCATGGCAGCATAAATGGCCCTCCGCTGGCCAGGCTGCAGCGTGGGGAGGGAGGCGTCACTGTAGACACGGCCAGCGCAGTGCTCCATCAGGTAGAAAGGCGTGCCAAGGGTGCTGGGGAAGCAAGGTGGAACCGGTGGTTCTGAGGTTAATCCTGCTACCTACCACCCCTCAGACCTCACCTACACCTTGAACGTGCCCCCCAGGCCTTACCTGCCTGACAAGGTGAAGAGCAGCCACAGCGGCCTTTGAAGCTGTGGCCTGGGCTCCAGCCCAGCTCAGGCTGCTGGGTGGTGGCACAAGGCTGTGGCAGCATCAGTCCTGCTCCCTCCAGCCCCAGGAAGATGATCCTGGGGCCAGGCTACGGCACCAACCATCTCCTTTCCCCATTTAACTACAGCACAGAGACTTTACTGCTGCAGCCAGGAGAGATGTGAGCGTAGCTGTACTGGCTGCACAGGGTGTCCTGGCTGCAGGCTTGGAGCTGTCGTGGCTGCAGATCTTGGGGCCAATCTGAATTACATCCTTACTGGAAACCTAAGCATACTGAGTCAGCAGGAGGCCCTACAATATTGGCTTATAGCTGCTTTTCAAAGGAAGACAGCATCTTGATTAACTGATAAAACTAGATGCACCTAAAGCAAACCAGATAAAAGTGTTACTGCCTTTTGAACTTTTAAGAGGCTCCTCTAGTCTGAGACTGGGCAAGCACTAATTGGACCAGTGTGCCTTGTGAGGTCTGATTCCTTCTCTCCTCTCCTCTCCTCTCTTCACTTTCGGGGGAATCTGGTTGAAGTTGTCAAGCACAGAATGAAAGCTGAGGGACAAAATTACCTTCTGTCCTCGCAGAGAGCAAGTACAGTGGGAACAGGAACACCAGCCTCAGCGAGTGCCTTCAGTACCCTGCCAGGGTGAGTCAGAGAGCCGTGTCAGCACAGAAAGGCATTAGGGAATCAACACCAGAACTGCACTGTTGCTTGGCAGACACAATATTAGAGTCCTGTGTTTGGTTTTAAACACTCCAAAATAACATGGTTGGGGGTAGGTTAAAGAACCTCAGCAAAATCTTTGTATGGCCCAGAGCCCCAAGACCTATCCAACATACTCTGAAAAAACCAAGGAGAGGTCACAACAGCCCTGTTGCCAAGTGTCCTGCTGCTTTGCTGCTGAGGCAGAGACCTCTGGTAGAGCAAAATGGTTTGTGGCATGACCCCTCCAGCGTGGGGCTCGCCTTTAGCTGGGCTCCTCGCTGCTCAGCTGCAGTGTTGTGCTGCAGCCCCTCTCCCAGCCAAGGTATCAGATGAGAGAGTGAGATTCCGCGTCTCCGATGTGTGCTGGGAGAGCTGTGGTGTGCTCTGTGGGGTGGAAGGATCACAGTGCAGGAGCGGGGAGGGTGCTTTTCACAGGCACAGGATCCTGACCGCATGCTCACTGCCAGCTGCAGGGTGGGAGCACAGCCTTGTCTCTCCCTCCAGGACTCCTCATGCGAGCCGTAGCGACCACACAGATCGCAGATCAGGGCATGGAGCTGTGCACAATGGCAGGAGACGACAACGTGGGATGAAGGTGTGTGAACTGTGAGGGTGATGGGGGACAGAAAAGCCAAGGCTGGATTCGAGCACCATCCCCAGGACAGGGTTATTTGGGATGTCCTACAAGAGTCTTCCCCGGTCAGGTGGCCTGAGGGAGCACAGCTGCCTTCTCACCTATGTTCCCTTCTGACGGCGGGGCTGGAGGGAAGTGGGCTGTCAGCAGGCTCCTTCTTCAGCACAAACAAGCGATCTCCAAACTTGATGAAATAGGTCCGAGTAGAATGTCTGTGGCCAAACTGCTGTAACACTAGTGGGCCTGAAGTGTTGAGAGCAGAGGGTCAGCGCATAGAAGTAGGAGCTGGGATTATTTGTCATCACTTCTACAGGTTTTACTTCCCCTTCCTGCGCCTGGCTCTGAGATCTCACTTGCAGCAATGAGGAACAAACACCCTGCTACTGTGTCCCAAATCCCTGGGGAGCACAGCGATGGCTCACAGTTGGCTCACAGGCCAGGAATATTCCTAGCGTCTCTGGCAACTTGTGCTCAACTCCTCCCAAATGAGAAAGTCCTAAAATATTGTTTCCCGTTTCTGGCAAACAGCGACGGATTACTGAGATCTGAATGGCTGTACCGTTTGCTTGGAGGTTAGGAGCCTTTCATTAATATTATTTTTTAATCCGTCTATTGTGTGATGGAAAGAGCTAACAACTCCAGAATATGCAAGTTTTCAGACTGAAGAGCAAAAAGCACTGCGATACCTGTTGTGTGGTCACCAAGAACATTTCCAAGGTACTTCTGCAGACGGTCTTTTGGGATTTCCATGTCTGGTCTCACTGAATGGGTATATGGAACAAACCCTTGCAAAGGAAAACCCAGATAGGCTTCCAGCTCTTTGAGTGCTACTTCTGGATCATCAACCTGAAAGCAAGAGGGAGAGAGAAACATTGGGTGATAGAAGACGAAATCGCCTGAGAAAGAAAGAGCTCTGCACACTTGCAATGCATTTATTTGTGAGTCCATGGCACTGATCCACGAAGACACACAGGAATTCATGGTCATTCCCTGCTGACACAGAGCATTACCCGTATTCACTAAGCCTCCCACTTTGGTCTCTATCCTGGAGACACATCTGTTACTGGGGCATCGTCACTGTGAGCTTGGGCTGGGCTACGAGCTGGAACCCCTCAAGTGCAGTCCAGGGGAGCAGAGTTCACTCATCCCACCAGACCCATGCCTGTCCTTCCCACAGTGGTCCCCTCACTGAAGTAAAACCTCCACGCGCACTGTCTCCAAAGCCTGGGGGTTAACCAGTCAGGCCCCAGCTGACAGATCCTTGAAGCCTCAGAGGTTCTAGAAATTTATTAAGCATGTCTTGTTCTTCTCACATCAAGTGGATATGGTCGTCTCAACTATACGGCTAGGGCTGTTTCTCTAATAGGGAACTGAGGTCCATAAAAGAGAAGTGACTTCTCTGAGGTTACACTGGCCATAGGGTTTATTGCTGTGAATGAAACAGGCCAGTGCAGATTATGCCAGTAATCCTCCCCTTTAACCCCGTCACAGCCTGTAGGAGTAAGCACAGGCTGAAACAAAAGGCTTGGCTACGCAAAACTGCCACTGCCATTTGAAAATTCCAAGCCATTCAAATCAAACACAGCTTCTGGACTTAAAAACCATACCCAAAATCCCGCCCCAGCTGCATTGCTTTGTACCTTCACTGTTTTAATGCCAAGCTGGGCTGCTGCTTTTAGGTTCTGGCTGCTGTTGTCAAGGAGGATGGATTCCTGGGGCTGAACACCCAAGAGGTCCAAGCACAGCTTGTAGATACGAGGGTCTGGCTTGCGCGTTCCCTCCCGATAAGATTCGACCATCTACGGCAATGACAAGTGATTATGCAAGAGCCTGCTGTGACCACAAACATCTGTGCAGTGTTGGAAATGGAGGCTGGGAGGGTGGGAAAGAGACCGACAGTCTAATTAACACGTGACATAAAGGACAGGGGGAATGGAGGGCTGACAGAGCTGGATAGGATGTGATTCAAGTGGCTGCGTGGGTGCCAATTGCCTTGGCTGGGGCTCTGTCAGCTCAAATAAGCTAAACAGGATCGGCCAGTCCTCAGGCGGAAGATATCCAACAGGATGTCACGCCGTGGGAGGTTCACTGGATGTCCCAGACCATGTTGAACCATTTGCTCAATGCTGTCCAAGAAAGCCTTGGAGTACACCACCTTCCAAACAATCTATAAAAGCAATGTCCTCACCATCTCACCTATCAATCCTGCCAAAGCCATCTTCACAGCAGCAGAGATGTTGACCATAATGATCCACCCAAATTCGGATCAAAACAGCATTGAGTCAGTCTCTGAATACTCACGTTGCCCTCACAACCATGAAAAAAATACAAACAGTACTTCACCCCTGCCCTGATAAACACTCTAGGAATAGAAATTAATCTATTAGATAGACATAAAAGCTAATGCTAATGGAAATCCACATTCAATTAATTTTTTTTCCTCACTAATTACTGTGCAGTGCTGTTGCCTGCTGTTACAGAAGAGCCGCACTGCATGAGTGATGACATCGGATAGGCCGTGGTTGTTAAATTGCTTTGAAACAGTCTGGGGTGAAAAGTACCACAGATCATCCCAACAGAGCATCACTGCACTACGAGAACTTCATAGGTACTGGTGTCACTGGTGTAGTGCACAGAAAGCAGAGCTGACAATGACATAATGTCGACAAGCCAACTTTAAACAGTCCCAGGTTTTAAATGGATCAATATGACTCTTCTTGGCACACTTTGTTGGCTTAATCAAAGGTATAAAACAAACAAATCATACACAAACTCCTGAAATTCAGAGATGTGAGTTGGGCCACATGAAAGAGCAAATTTTCTGTTATGCTGAGCCGCTGCCTGTTAAAGTGAAGCCACTCAAACCTGCCTTGATGTTCATGGCTACTCTTCCACTTCATCTTTGCAAAAGTGAAGTGTGCTAGGAGGGGTCTCTCCCTGCTCATCAGCTCAGACAGATCGACATGTCGGGCTAGTGCGATTTCTCATAGTATAGGAGATGCTTTGCTATCCTTTGGGATGAAACAAGCTTTAGAAGAGTAAGGACTAAATATAAAGCAGGCGGGGGAACCACGTAATAACATTTATCTTTTATACAGAGTTCCAGCTCCTAAGTCCTTTATTGGCATCGCTACCTATGCCTGTTACAGGTAGACTTGTGGTTGCGCGGGCATTTTGCAATGCATTTTCAAACTCACATCACTCAGACTCTCTTCAAGGCCCAGGCACTACAACGAGTTATGCCAGGACATGTTTGCACAGTGTGTTACATTTCTGTCTACTCACACATGCCACTGGTTGCCCTTCACTTGGTACCCACATGTACAGAATTTCAGTTGCTTCTTTCTACAGGCCAGGTTTTGGAATCCGTCCAGGCTTACCACATCAAAGTGCTCTCGGTCCAGGGGCAGAAAGCTCTCTCCATTCAGCAGGCAGGAGTTGTTGCTTAGAAGAGCTGTCTTAAGACCTCTGGCACGGATACACTGTACTGCTTCTGCCATTATGGGGAGCTGTTTTATCATCTCATTTCTGATTAAGTCTGATAGAAAGGAGTCCACTGGAACAGAGACATTTGCCTAAGAAGCCAAAGAAACCCCAAGAATGATAATCAGCCATAAACAGTTTTTAAGGAGGGATGAAAATAAGAGTGGTTGGGTTGCCTGATCATCTTATCTTGCTGTCCTGCCTCCTCTGGCAGCAGAAGGCAGCCAGTGAATATCCCAGCTAAATTGCTTAGGCCAAATAGAAACACATGCTAACATTACTAATTCTACAGAAGCAGCAGCAGAGATGAGGGGCCAATTTGGGGAAAGAGAAATGTCCTAGAACTGTGCCTGCCACGGAGTCAAGGCACCTTAGAGATCAATACTGCTTCACCATTCAGCAGGCAGGAAAGGAATCTGCATTTTAGCCTGAGCTGTTTCAAAAACACTTCATTAAAGAAGGATTCTTGCATTTTGTTCCTGGAGCTGAGGTGGAGAGGCTTCTACCAATCTCAAGAACCCTCCCCAGAGTCTATGGTCTCCACCTATCTAGCTTGTCCGTGTACGAACTAACAGCAAAAGGTGGTCTCTATCTGGTCTCTAGCTCTCTGACTTCTCATCTTGGCTGATCCTAGAGATGTCTCGAAATAAAAAAGTTATGAAATATGCAGGAAAAGGCTGGTAGAAGTGAATTGAAAGAAAATTCAACTGACCATCCTGCCTGCCTACTACAACGATGTGAAAAATCTGTGAAAAAACAGTGAAAAATCTGCCCTGCTCAGACAGCAATCCTTCCTAGATGGCAAATCCAGACCCTCGCATCAAAGGATTTCTTCTAAAAGCTCCTCTATCTTCACCGAACCACCACATTGCAGGATCCCATCTCCCTGCAGTCAGGAAGCACAAAGAGATGAAGAGAGGAGTTGGCTTACAATCTCAAAGCACTGCTGTCCCAATTCCTGCAAAAACTCCACAGTCGTCAGCTCTCCTCTTGTGTACTTCAGGGAGGGGCTGTTTTCCCCTCCAGAGAGGATAGCTTGCTGGATGGTACCGGCAGGAATCCAATTCCGGGCCTCCCAGTCTACACAGGAGAAAGTAAGAAAGCCAGGAAAGAGCATGTACAGCATCACCAGAACTGTGAAATCAGCTTGAAATCCCGCTGAGGTGTGACACACCGACAGCACTCATGAGAACTGACATGCTGGACTGGTGTAATTCACCCAGACACAGAAGTTTGGGCATTCCCTCAACTGAAGCACCTCACCTCTGTTTCTGGTGTGGTACCTTTGGAGCTCTTAAAGTGCAGTGAAGGTCTGTACCAATGTTGGGTGGTATCAGCTGGTGCCACTACAGGAGAATTTAATTACCAGATGGGTTCAAGCCTTGACCTGGAGCTGTCAGCACAGTTGCTGACAGTTCTAGTACTCTGATGGCACGATGGAGTTCCTTCACCATCATCATTGCAAGTTCTTCAATATCTTACCAGAACCAGGGGCAGCTAACAGCAAGACCTGGCATTTCTTTCCCCTCCATGCATAGAAACAACAGGGACAAATGATAAATGAGAATACCCACCCGCAGCTGTCTTGTAAGGGGACGGGAGGAGCACTCCGTCTGCGTCAAAGATCACAGCTTTATAACGGCACCAGCCAGATCGTCTCCGCCCCTGAGGGTGCTGCCAGATCCCAGCACGGAGCAGGTAAGGGGCACGGGCAACACGCCTCAGGTACATGCTGCAGAAAATTCGCACCCAGCCCATGCTGGCTGAGGAGCGAGGCTAGGATAGAAAGCGTAGAATGACAAGGGTAAACATTTATTTACGTGCAAGAAGCGTCCAAGCCAAACTAGGGATGTGGCTTTACACAGGGTCCTTACACCCTTCAAATGTTCAAGTTTGACCTGAAGCTAACAGGCACACTACCCATCACTAATCACAGCAAAATTCTGCACAGCAACTCTGTTTTTTGCTTATTGATCCACACGTCCATGAAGTCAGTTGTGCCAAAGCAACTTCTCTATCACACCAGACGATGCTGGGTTTCCAAGACACGTTAGGGTGCTTATAGGATGCTGGTGTTTTAATCCCTTATCCTTCACGGACAGCCCTACACCATGATGTAAAATCCTTATTTCCAGAGCCGGACTGTTACAGTTTACTTAAGAATGAACAATACTAAAATCTAGCACGAGCTGCAAGATATCAGCATGGCGGGTGTGAGGGGAAAGGGAGGACACGGAGGGGTGTGTGTGTATTTTTTCTTATTTTTTCTTATTTTTGGGGAGGCAGATGCTTCGGCCTAAGGGGATGGGTCCTGCGTTGCCATGGTAACGGGGCCTGTAGCTGTGGTACAA